GGAGCCCGCCGATTGCGGCTCCGGGTCTGGAACTGGAGAACCCGCCGATTGCGGCTCTGGAGCTGGGGAGCCCGCCGATTGCGGCTCTGGAGCAGGGGAGCCCGCCGATTGTGGCTCCGGGTCTGGAACTGGAGAGCCCGCCGATTGCGGCTCCAGATCTGGAACAGGGGAGCCCGCCGATTGCGGCTCCGGATCAGGAACAGGGGGGACCACTGACCGCGTCCCAGGAACAGGCCCACAGGAGACCGCCACCTGCGGCTCCTGGACAGGAACTGAGGAGCCCGCTGACTGCGGCTCCACATCTGGAACAGGAGACACCACCGACTGTGGTTCCACCTCAGGAGCTGGGGAGGCCACCGACTGTGGCTCGACCTCAGGAACCGGAGGGACCACCGACTGTGGCTCCGTCTCAGGAACAGGGGAAAACACCCATGGAGGCTCATATTCAGTCTCTGAGGTGGCTTGAAGCGTCTGTAGAAGGCTCTTGGCGGTTTGTGGCCCCTGCTGAGAGGCTATTGGAGTTATATTTTCTCCAACTCCAAACTCTGAAGCCCTCTTAAGTTTATGCTCAGGGGTCTCTGGACGGCACAGGGCAGGCTCAGGGGTCTCCGGACGGCACAGAGCAGGCTCAGGGGTCTCTAGACGGCACAGAGCTGACTCAGGAGTCTCTAGACGGCACAGAGCTGACTTAAGGTGACGCCGTTTCTTACGCCGAGGGGTCATGGAAGCTAAGTTAACAGGTTTACTGATTGAATCTGGCAACAAATTAACCGGTTGGAAAAATAGAGTTCCAGAATGGATTACAGGGTCTGGGGCTAACAAATCAGGCATGGGGTCAGGTTCAAAACTAACTGGGTTATTTTCTGGTTCTGGAGCTGGAAGTGGTGGCTCGAAGGGGAAGATATCCTCTCTATCCCCATAAAAATAATCCCAGAGATCAGACTCATGGATGTGGGGTGCTAGATAATCAGGCGAGGGAACAGGTCTAGAAACAACGGTGACGGGTTCAGGTGTCTGGTCAGGTTGTACGGCTCTGGGTCTAGTTTGCAGTCCTATATCTAACCTGACTGCTAGCTCTATGAGATCCTCAAGGTTATCTGGCTCAACGTAAAAGGTTAGCTCGTTTCTGACCGGTTCATTTAGAGCTTAGAGAAACGCGGTCTTAAGTGCAGACTCGTTCCACCCGGAAACGGCTGCTTTTTCCTGGAACTCGGAAGAAAACTCGGCTACGGATCTATTTCCCTGTTTAGATTCCCAAAGTCCACTTGAAAACCAGGATTTATTTGTGACCTGATTAAAGGTCCTTTCAAACTCCTTGATGAATTTCTCATATGTACAGTTTAATCTAGTTTTAGGCGGAAATCTGGTCTCCGCCCATTCAAGGGCTTCACCGGACAGAAAAGAAATGACTAAAGCTATCCTATCCTTATCATAAAGAAAACTAGAATCATAAAATCCAAAAAACAACTGACACTGAAATAGAAATCTCCTGAGTTTTCTTGGATTGCCGGAAAATCTCTCAGGCAGAGAAGGGCTTAGTGCAGAAAACGACGGGCTGGGTTCTGACCAGAAAGGAAGATTATTATCTTGACTAGGAAGTGACGTCATTGCCGGTGACCTAGGAGACGGAAGTGAATTCGGAGCAGGACGTGCCGCTGACGTGGCGTTAGCATTATCCAAGTAGCTAGCGAGTGTTTGATTCTGCTGTAACTCACGGAGGGTTTGTGTATGTCCATGGATCTGAGCGACCCGTTCCTCAATCCACCGACGGAGGTGATCTGCTGGGCTTTGTGTTTGGCCGCAGTGTTCTGTCATGATGGGTTCTTAGAGTTAAGCCCACAATGCAGAACACACACGGAAACTGGGTAAAAGTTCAACAGAGTTTATTATGGTTCACAAGCACATGATAAAGAATATGATCTGGAACAGGTTCAAGGTTGGTTCACTAAAGTCTTGACTGGGACTGGAGACTGTTGGTTAGCAGAGTTCATGGGAAGCTAAGCGTCTAGCTTCAGGCTTAGCATGGCAGACCTTGATCTGAGCTTCCAGCTCGCTGCAGAGAACAACAGGGAATATCCACATAGGATTCTTCAGGGTGAGCTTCCAGCTCATTGCAGAGAACAACAGGGAATATCCACATAGGATTCTTCAGGGTGAGCTTCCAGCTCATTGCAGAGAACAACA